GAGCTAAGCAGGTGGAGATGAGAGCGTGTGTTCGAATCTCCCCAGTATCACCTTTGGGAGGAGTTTAAAGTCTTAATCCTGGACCCGCCCCGAATCGGATTAGTTGCGAAGCAATGAACCGACTGGAATATTTCTAAAAAAAAAATATAAAAATAAAAATAAAAATAATATACTAGGACAGCCTGAGAGGCTCTAAGGCCGAGCTTTTGAATTGGAGCCTGAAGCCTTTTTATTAAACGAACTTTTGTACAAGTTCAAGCCTGGTGCCAACAACCAATTTTAGACATATAAGCTCAGACCTTCACGAGCCGAGCCAAAGGCTCTGGTTCATTTAGTGTAACACCCCGTATATATCCGGTAATGTTATCATAATATCGTATTAAGTTGCGCTTAAATAAAAATACGGAATTACTTTTTCTTTTCAATTATGATGCCATTAACATTACCAACTTGCTTAATAATCAATTAATAAAACATCGCCTGTATGTAATTGCAATAAAACAGCTAATTGAAAAACCTCATAACATAGATAATACAAGTGTGGCTATAGTCTCGGAACTACAACAATGTAGACCGGACCATCTAACAGTTTATACAACTCCAATCTAAAAAGTACCAACAGAGAGTGTCATGGACAATCTCCATGCTCACTCAAATAAGGCAACATGCCCAACATCAGTCTCAACAACAACATAATGATAAAAGGCATAAAACATAATCAGCATCAATATCCAGTCATGCTAACAAATAAGCAGAAATAACATAATCAGCTAAGCTCCGGCCTCCTGCCGCCTGAGGCATCAGTACCCATACTACCTGATCCTGAAATAAGCATTTCCCAAACGTGGGGTAAGATCTCTAATATAGAAATCTCAGTAAGTGAGTGAGTCCTCAAGGATCTTCCACCCCAAGCTCACTTACATGTGCAATATAAGTTCAAAAGCAGTTTATCGTTTATCATTTCTAAAACAATGCAATGCAGCAGATAATCATGACATGTGTGTCAATACTAATCTACTGGCCAGAGACAGTGCAGGTATACGTCTATCACCTACACACCGTGCAAGTACCACTTGCATTCACCCCGATACACCGTCTTGTATGGCGCTACATACTCAGGCTTCCCGTCAAGATGAAACAACACATGCATATTAAAAGTCATTACATGTAAAGTTCAATCAACATATCAAATATCCAAAAGCATGTACACAGCATGCATAAACCATACCCCCATGGGACATGTGGAACCACAATATAGCTAAACCGAGGACACGAAAACTTACCTTGCAAGCTAACTCCAAAAGCCAAGAGTCCACAGCTCAAAGTCCAAACACAGCAGATTCACAATCTGTTATGGACCAACAATACATCAACAACATGCACCACAAGCATACAATATTAAGACAACGTCTTTCCATACGTTTAACGTCTTAAGGCTCCATACCAAGCCATAAGCCCTTAATCACTTGATTCTGACTTTGTTTAATTAAAACAGAAGTTCAACTTCATCAATCTAGGGTCCACAAACCCCCAATAGCTTACTGTCCTCACAGCACAGCTACTGTTCTTCGAAATCCCAGAATATTCGGATATTCCTCGGGACCAGATATGCAATATCCGGATATCTCACTGGACATATCCGGATATGCAATATCCGGATATCCAGAATCCCATATCCGGATATCTATTATCCGGATACTCAAAACCCATATCCGGATATCACATATCTGGATATTCATCGGGCACATATCCGGATATTTCACGACAGAATGCAGAAAATGCATTTCGTGAAGATATCCTTCCAAAGTTCCATTTTTAACACTTAGTTACGTTAAAGCATGCTTCTTTATACTGCTTAAGGTCCACACCCAGTTGGTTACTTGATTAACCCATTAAACATGCAAAGATCACACCTTTAACCCATTAAAACACAAGCTCAAAGTAGGTACAACTCACCAAAGCTCAAAACAGAGGATCAATGGCTCAAGGAGCTCACCACACTGCCTCTATAGGTTCTGGAAATAAGGTGTACGAAAATGCAACACAAAGGTTGGTCCTTTCTTCACAAAGAAGCTTCTTGAAGCTTCACAAGCCAAGTAGGAAGCTCTCACCCTCACACAAGGCCACTCAGCCCACAAACTGACTTCAAACAGTCCTTCAACTCAGAACCACAACTCTCTACACACTCACAAAGGCTCAAGTGTTCGGAGGTGAAAAAACCAAGCAAAATTGACACTTGATCTCCAAAATGGTGAAGAAAGCTCAATGGAACAGTAGCAACAGACCAGCCACTCTAGCATTCACGTAGCAACAGAAACCTAGGGTTTTATGCCCTTAACATGAGTATTTATAGCCACTTACCCAATTAACACACAATATTAACTTTAATTGCTACGCCTAGGATTTTAATCCCAGAATTTGGATTATGAAACTACATAATTTTCTAAGATTTATCATATTTTTCTTATAATTTTCTGAGCACTTTTTCGGTATGCGCTTTTCCAAGCCAGTACCGGTTTCTAGCACCATTTCTCATTATCTGGACTTGAAACTCGTTTTACAAGTCCTACATATTATTCTAGTAATTATCATACACTTATTATAATTTTCCGGGATACTTTTTCGGTACTCATTTATACCGACTAGCAGACCGGTATTTGCATTTTTCTTTCGAAAAGCGACTTTCGGCATTATTACTCACTTACTATAATTATTAAAGCCTCATAATGATTATTAGGGTCAATTATGGAATCATTTCCTATTTTCTCATAATTTATTAATTAAATTCCTTAATTAACGGTGCGGGTTCTTACATTTAGCACCCCTACTCTCACCCCCCCCCCACGTACTCAGCTTTCACACACCAACTGAACTATCAACATTTGGTTGGACCGGATAATTATTAAGGTTGTTTAGAGTTTCAAAGACAGGACAAAATACAATGACGAAGGCATGTTTGATTGATTTCTTGTTTTTTTTTTCTTAAAACTATTTTGTAGAATAGTTATAAAAACAGATGTTTTCTGAATTTTTTAAAGACTTTAAAAATTTTATAGTGAATGTAAATAAGTATTTATATTCACTCTCAAAAGACCCAAGTGTGGTGGCTCAGTTGGTAGCATGGGGACTGAGTGGTGGGAGAGGACCTCGGTTCGAATCCCACTAACACCATCTGGGGAAGGGCATAAGTACTGTAATCCTTGGACTCGCACCCGAACTCTGGATTAGTCCCATAGGCGGCTCAAAGAGTCGAACTCGTGGGGATACCGAGGGTTCTGATTCGGCTCAAAGAGGTAATTAGGATTAGTTACCAAAAAAAAAAATCACTCTCCAAAGGACGTCATTTTGAATTGAAAGATTGAAAAATTATAATGACAAAGACTATTATAATCCTGAAATAAATTATATATTATAAAAATACCTTGATTTTAGCCCCAAAACGACGTCATCTTGGACTCAACGTAGATAACTTATCTACAATGATTGCAGAAAAAATGAACCTTTTTAAATTTTGGAAGTTAAAAGTCAAAACACAAAACACAAAACAACTCTAATATATTCTCTAAATTTGATTCTAAAAAAAGTTATAATTTTGATACTATTCACCTGATAAGTATTGATAAGTGGATCTTCAAAAAGAATATGAAGGCAGATGGCACTATTGATAAGGATAAAGCTAGAGTTGTAATCAAAGGCTACAAGCAACAGGAAGAGTTGGATTATTTTGATACCTATTCACCTGTTACTAGAATTACATCAATAAGGATGTTAATTGTTATAGCAACTCTGAATAGGTTAGATATATATCAAATGGATGTGAAGAAAAACTTTTTAAATCGTGATTTGGAAGAAGAAATTGTTAGAATTTTTATAATTGTGGGCTTCAATCAATTGTATTTTTTCTTATTTTTATAAAATCGAGCTAAGAAATGATCCATATAGGGTGCAATATAAAGTCAATTTAATTAAGTGATTCTTTTATTTTGGGCTTGGATACCTATAAACTGATTAGTGTGAGTAATAGTATAGGCCTAATAGACCCATGATGAGAAGGGGACTATGGTTAATAAGTTTAGCTAGGTCTCCTCTGCATTCACAGTGAGTTGAAAAACTATCACTCCACAACTCGTACTATCAACGATTGTGATCAGGGAGTGATGTGAATTGCAAAGGAAACCCCTGGTCTTTCCAACCTTGCAGGAGTATCAAAGCAAACAAGAAACAAGAAAGCCTTCAAGAAATCAAGAATCGTGTATTCAGAGCAAGTAAGCCAAAATCTTTTGGTATTCTAAAACATATAATCCTATTTTAAAATTTCTTTCATTTGGTAAAAGAGCCTAGATTAAAATTTCTTTCATTTGGTATTCTGTGGCATTGCCATACATCTGATTATGGAGGTCATTTTTGAGGCAACATAACTGCACAGAAAGTGTTGCAAAGTGGGTATTATTGGCCTACAATCTTCAAGGATGCACGAGAGTTTGTGGAGAAATGTGTTAAGTGCCAAAGGACGGGAAACATATCCCGTAAAGATGAGATGCCCCTCAACTGCATATTGGAGGTGGAGCTGTTTGATGTTTGGGGAATTGACTTTATGAGACCATTTCCTAAGTCACGTTCTAACCAATACATCCTGGTTGCTGTGGACTATGTGTCCAAGTGGGTAGAAGCGGTTGCTTTACCTACTAATGATGCAAAGGTGGTAGTTGCTTTCTTGCGGAAGAACATTTTCGCCCGCTTTGGAGTTCCTCGTGCGATCATCAGTGATGGTGGCACTCACTTCCGCAATAAGCAGTTTGAGAGCTTGCTTACAAAGTATGGCGTCACTCACAAGGTGGCTACACCATACCATCCTCAGACCAGCGGGCAAGTAGAGATCTCAAAGAGAGCTGAAGAGGATTCTGGAAAAGACGGTGGGCAATTCAAGGAAGGATTAGGCAAAGAACCTGGATGATGCACTCTGGGCATACAGGACGACTGCTTTCAAAACACCAATAGGTATGTCACCATTCCAACTGGTGTATGGTAAGTCTTGTCATCTTCCTGTAGAACTAGAACATAGAGCTTTGTGGGCTATTAAATTTTTAAATTTTGAACCATCAAAGGCTAATAATAAGAGATTGCTGCAATTAAATGAGTTCAGGTTAGCAGCTTATGAGAATGTCAGGATTTACAAAGAGAAGACAAAAAAGTGGCACGACAAAAAGATTCAACCAAAAGATTTTGAGTCAGGACAACAGGTATTACTATACAACTCTCGACTGAGGTTGTTTCCAGGTAAGCTCAAGTCTCGTTGGTCTGGTCCTTTTGTAGTAAAAAAAGTTTTTCCATATGGTACAGTTGAGGTTTCTCCTCTCAACACTGAAAGACCTTTCAAGGTCAATGGGTGTAGATTGAAGACTTGTCATGGAGGAGAGATACATAGGGACACAATTACTGTTCCTTTACTTTCTCTGGAGACTTAAAGAGTCCGCGTCAGGCTCGTGACGTTAAACAAGCGCTGGTTGGGAGGAAACCCAATAATTTTTGAGTGATTTCCTTATTTAATTCTGTTGAGTCTTATTATATAGTTAAGTTTTAGTCCAGTTAAAACAGAGGTCTGCGCAAATCGCACGAAAAGTGGCGCGAAACGCGCCATTTTAAGGTGAATGTCTCTGTATTCTCACGCAATTCGCGCCAAACATGGCGCAATCTGCGCCATTTCATCTAGAGACCACTGTCTTTCCGTGCGAAACGCGCTTAACGGGGCGCAAACCGCTCCATTTGGTTCGGAGGACACTGTAATTTTTGCGCAATCCGCGCGGAATTGGGCGCGTACTGCGCAGTTTTGTGATTTAGCCCCTGTCTTCCGGCGCAATTCGCGTAGCACACAGCGCACATCGCGCGGATGTGCTGGATTTTCAAATTTCAAATTTTAAAATTTCTTTTTACGGTTCCAAAATGTACAAAAATAAAAACCCCCCACTTCCAAAACCGTCACACAACCCCTTCATATCTCAAACTCTCTCACGTTTCCATTTTCATTTTTCTTTCACTATTCTTCCTACACCTTTCGGATTACACACATTACATCCCAAGTTTTGTAAATCAAAGGACAGATCATTCTCATAGTGAACTTGGGGAAAATCAAATTCAAAGTTTAATCTTCAAGTGTCTCTCATTCTTGCATCCATGGCTGCAGAAAAGGTAAACCCCTAACCTTTATATTCCAATTCTTGTTTATTTGGGTAAAGAGACAACGGAGATGTGATTTGTGCCTGAGTAGTAGCAAGAAGTAATCCTTTTGCGCGAAGAAGTTCATCATACCAAGCCCGCGCGGATCGCGCTGCTCCTGGCGCAGATCGCGCCGGCTGGGTTAAGTTGTACATGAACAATCCCCAGCCCGCGCAGATCGCGCTGGATGGGTCTTCAACTGCTGTTTTCATCTCGCGCAAATCGCGCGGCTTGTAGCGCTAATCGCGCCAGATGTGTTCTAGTGTTTTGTGTTCCATCAGTGTCATCCATAAACATGCAGTTGTCATCCTAATTTTGATTTGATATTGTTTAAGTTCATTACATGTTGAGATATTCGAATTAATTTGGATGAACTATGATTTAATTTTGGGATTATTGATTAAATGCATTAAAATAGTCATGCATGATTCCAAATTATTGAAAATTCACTTTGCTTTGAACTTAAATCTGGGAATTGTACTGATTGGAATACTGCAATTGTGAAATATACTGAATCTGTTTTGCAATATATTGTTTGGACTTTTCTGAGTTTCAGGGAAAACAGGTTGGCAAGAAGAACACCCAGGGCGGTCAAAAGAAGGCCACAGCTGCATCTTGCAGCAAGAGGCCTAGGCACTCTACCTTTGATAACAGTAGGTTTCTCTCACTGGAGTGCCAGCAGAGATATGAAAGCTGGTACGGGCCTAAGAAAATCATCCCATAAAGAAAAATTGATCTGGAAGGCCTTCATGAAGATTCTCCAATCCTAGATGTGATAAGAATGCGAAAGTGTGAAAAGCTAGTTAGTTTTGCTGAGCCCAGTCCGAGTACTATTTGAAGGAATTCCTAGCTAATGTGAATTGGGAGAATGTGGAGAATACTAGAAAAAGCCGGGTGAGGGGCAAGCAGGTGTCCTTTAAACCCCGAGCCATCGAAGAGTTTTTGGAGACTTCTTTTATACCTGCTACTGCATGTAGGTTCATTCACCTCTTCAATAGGATGCAACCCACTGACATAAAGAATGTTTATATGGAGGACATGCCTAAGTTAGCTGATACTGTCAGGCGTGGGATCACTTGTCAGTATACAGTTTGGTCTCATCGCGCTGTCCTCCTTTTTTCAATGGTGGAGGTTTGTTAACGCGCACGTAACCCGTTTGGAAGGCTTCCTTCAAGATCCGTCTTCGGGATGTGTTTAAGGGAGTATAATTGTCAAACCTCTCCCACTTTTTTTTTTCACGGAATTTTCGTTGAAAATTATTTTGGACATCTCTGTCAAAATTGTCCATGTCCGTCTTAACGCTAGAAGTATCCCGCGACCGTTTATAATCCTCAATATTAATGAATTTTTCTGACCGCACTCGTAGTTCCTCTATGGTACGCGAGCGTTGTTTGGCCAACGACATAGGGAAAGGACCTTCCAGTAATCCTTCAATGATGAGGTGTAGGGAAACTTGTGGATCCAGGTCTCTTACTAAAAGTGCTTCGTCGAAAAACCTTTTGAGGTAATCACGTAGTGTTTCATGTGGTCCTTGTCGTACAGTTTTCAAGGCATGTGTGGATTTGTACTGTTCTTTGCTTGTTGCAAACTGTATAAGGAATTGACTAGTTAAATCCTCTCAACTTTGAACTGAATTAGGTGGTAACATAGAGTATCATCTAAGTGCTACCTCCTTCAAGGTTGTTGGGAATAACCGACAGGCTATTGGATCAACTACATCTTGTGCCATCATGTTCGTCTGGAATTGTTCTAGATATTCTTGCGGGTCTCTCTTTTCGTTGTACTTCTCAGTTGTAATTTTTACGTCTCTGGGAATAGGGAAGTTCATGATACATGGGGTGAATGGGTGAAAGATACGTGAAACTGTTCTAGAATTCCCGTGAGAATTTTCGTTGGTTTCTTTTTCTTCCTCTCCTCTTTTGTTTTTATGACCCGAAGGTTCAGGATTTCCTTTTGAATATTCATGTACCGGCTCACTTTTGCCCGAATTTTCAAGTTTATTCTCGGCTTCTTTCTCAGGCTATTTTTCTTTTCCCTGATTTTTCTCTCTAGTCTTTTGTGATTTTTTCAATCGAGCCAAATCTTGATTCTGCTGGGCAATTTTTTTGTTCTGCTGAGTGATAAGTTTCAGCAAGTGTTGGGTTGTGGGAGGGTTATCTTGGTGCACAGAGAGAGGTGCCACTGACGAGGCTAATTTTTCGCGAGAGGCAGGTATCTCCTTGTGCTTCCCTTTAGAGCCGTTTTGGGTTTTGCTTCGGGTATCAACCATGTTTTTAGATTGTAAATAGATGGGTTCTAAATGATAGGTCCCCACAGACAACGCCAATGATTAGACCAAATACAGTATGGGCTGACCAATGTGTACTGGGCCAAATCACACACGGTTGACAGAGAAAGCCTTTATGTTGATATGCTTTCTGGGCTTGAGGTTCTAGTTGATGATGTGAAGACTCTGGTTCTCCTTTGGCGTGGTGATTCAGACTGGGGAGGGTACCTGCGATGACACTCCGATGCTCAAGTCAGTATCAATAGAAGGTGTATGTGTATTCTTACTAAATTAGATTGTCATACCTGAGCATGTACTCTCTGTTTATATAGTGGTTGTGATGTCGCCTTGTGAAGGCGGTATGGCCTCTGATTGGTCGTTTTAGGGCTGCAGGTTCAGCCTGTGCCTTAATAGCCTTATCTCTTAATGCCAGGCTACTTTTGATAGTGTAGTGGGGAGCTGGTGCTGTCCTCTATCTATTTGCTTAAGGGCGCAGTGAACCTTTGTTAGTTCTAGTGTTGGCTTTCTCATCTCTGTAATTATATCAATAGGCGGTTTTGTGCGCGATGGTGTCATCGCGCTATGCTTTTGCACGATGTGAGTCATCACGCATTATTCCGGGCTTTAAGGGTTTTGAGTCTTGTCCTTATGTACGTGGGCCTTTAATGAGCTTATCATATTTTATCCATATCAATTTCTATTGAGAGGAATACGAAAAAAAAATGTGAAACCAACAATTTTAAATTTACAAAACTATGAAAACCTCATAATGAAGTTATTTATATTTTATTTAAGGGAAAAGATAATGAGAGAAGTTATACTTACTATATATTTTTCTTACTATCTCTTACTACTAAATCTTAATCGTTTATTTCCGTCAATCAAACGGTTATAATTTTTTGGGTCATACTTATTAATTAATTATTAATTTCTAATAAATTATAATTGTTAGATTGACGAAATTCAACGGTTAAGATTTGATAGTAAGAGATAGTAAAAAAAAGGTTGTAAATATAATCTCCTCGAAAATAATATATATATTTTTTTAACTTTTTTTTTTTTGGGATAAATAGCAAAAAAGACCACCCTTGAAAGACAAGGTTTCGTAGGGTGTCAAAAAAAAAAAAAAGATGTTAAAAAATCCCGCTTCCCTCTCCGTCTCTCTTTTGAAACCCTCATCCAACCTTTCCCGCCTCTCCCTCCCTCCTTAAAATCCCTAATTCTCCATTCTCCATTTCAATCTCTCTCTCTCTCTCTCTCTCTCTCTCTCTCTCTCTGATTCTCATTTCTCAATAATCTCCACTTTTCGCCATGAACCGAAGAACCAGACAAACCATACCACACCATTTTCACAAGTATCTCAAACCCGGCGCTCTCGCCCGAATCCGTGACTCCAAGATTAGTGCTAGATCTCACCGTCTAAACTCCCTCTCCCAGATCCCTATCCACCGCCCACTCTCGCCGCCGCCTTCAACCGAAGCTCAGCCTCAGGCCAACGATGCTGACAACGGTTTTCCTTTCTTCGTCGCCCGGATCTACGGTCCACGCTGCCCGCAGAGGAAGAAGCTCATGGCTGCCAAGTCCGTCTTGTTCGTACCTGTGAATCCAGCCGCGGACTCGCCCGATCTGGTTATTGAACCCTTCGGCAACGACATTGCTGTAGGTAGTTGAATATTTTTGTTGTTGTAGAACGGTTTTAGATGTGCAGATGTGACTCTTCTGTTGAATTGTCTGATAAACTTACTCAGATAGGGCTGGATTTATTAAGTGCAATAAGATTTCCAATTTTCACATCAAATTCCGCTGTTTATTTATGCCTGCGTTCCTTATTTGCCTACGATATTGATTGGATTTCAATACTCATGATATAATTATGATGAAAAAATAGAAATAGCTATCTCCAATGTCGGTACGTTTCACAATGAACGCTTTTGCTTGGTTATAGCATTTAATTTCTGCGTGTATGAAAAATTGGTTAGGGACTTAGGCTGCGGCTGCTAACCTTGTGAGATTGTTTTTTGATCTTTTACTTCACGATTTGTTCCTGTGTTCCGTACTGTGATAATTTAATGCTAAATTTGGTATGGCTCTGTTTCAATTGGTAATTACCGTGTTAATTTGATGTTCTGCATCTGTGGTGTTAGTGAGTAATTTATTTGTGTTTGTAACGCTTCTGCTAGTAATGCTGGTAAGTAAATGATTGTATGACTTTGGTTTTTGTTCCCCTATTATATAATGTTGTAATTGAAATGTTTAGGTTAGTGGTTTTATTTTTATGATTTATAGTTTGGGTTTAATGTTTCTCGTCACCTTAGATAAATTTATCTCCTACAATCTCAAAATAACATTATTTTGGGTTGAGAGAAAAACAAATAAATAATGATAAAGCCTAATATAGTTTCGGAATAAATTAGAAGTAAAAAAATATCTTTCTCCCAATCTTAAAATAATGTCGTTTTGGGTCACATAAGATAAGTTATCTCTTGGAGAAGCATTAAACCCTTCTAATTTATACCTTTGTTTGTTTTGTTTGGGTGTTTATTTATTAAATCCTTTCGAAGCATGTTTTTGTTCCTTGGCATATGCATTTATTTCTGTAAGCAGTTAAATTACTGAAGAAATTAAATGTTCCTGTAAATTTATGACAATAAATGGTTTTAAATGTAGTGCGACTGCTTGATATTTGGTTCTTGTTCGGACTATGGACATGTTGCCAACTTTGCAATTTGAGATATTGGACAAACTAATTGTTTCACTTCCTTAATATATGAAAATAAGATGAGTGACTATGTAGTAGTCTTAATAGATGCTCATCAAGGCTGCTGCTTGTCATTCACTGCTGAGATACGAGGAATAATTTTGCTCATCAAATGAGTGAACATATTCCTTTAGTTTTGTATTGTGGAAGTTTTACTTTAACATGGATACCGCAAGGGAAGAAGCAATTGCTTAAAGCAGGACAGAGCACCTCAGAACATGGTTTATAGTTTGAAATCGATGAGTGTCTTGACGTAGCTAATTTAATTTTCCAGCCAATCTAAAGATGATGTATGTTTAACAGGTTAAACTGTCTTCTGATGCCTCTGATCTGTTACAGCAGCTTAGCATCAAAGGAATACATTGATATTCTCTCATGCATCATATACTTCTCAGCATGCTAGAACATGTTTTCATTTAGAAGTCATTTTTGTAACAAATCTAATCTAAGTACAACATACTTTGCAAATTCTGTCTTGAGGGGTTAATTCTCTTTTTAGAATGATTACGTGGTTTCTAGGTTTTTGCTTTTTCTTGTGTGCTTTGGTGCGTTGGTGAATGTTTCTTCAGGACAAGTTACAAGCTTTTGCTTCTGAGTATATGGTTGCACTGTGTTTTTCTTCAAACACCCCGTCTCATTAGTAACTAAACAGCAGCAGCAGCCATAATTGCTTGTTGGGGGTATTTTATTTGTTCTTTTAGACAGTAAATGCTATTCATGACCAACTCACTTTTAGTCAATTTTCTTGTTTTTTTTTTGGGATTTAAGCACCACTATATTTTGTTGTATGATTTGTTTGCATTCCTTTGGATTGTAAGGATTAAAGATGATTTAACAGCCTGGTTTTGATTTCCTTATTTTCCTTCTACACATAATGAGATTCACTTGAACTATTTTAGTTCCATTCCAAACGTTGGCTGATAAAATATGAATATCTCTGTATGATATTGTTTTTAGCAATTTAGTATATAATTGAAAGCGGCTATCGGTATCTTGTTTGAACAAACTTCAAATTTGCTTGTTTCAGCTACAAACGATGACGCTGTACGCCGTAAATTATTATAGGCTTGTGATTAATTTGTGTTCCTTTCTTGGAAAGTAGAACTTGATTGTATTGAGTGAAAATCACGTTTGAGGGTTGTGAAATGGGGTTGCATAGTAACTCGTCTAGTTTGGTGGTTAATTTTGGATTGAAAACATCGATTTGGTTATGAGTATGTTTTAAAGGCGAGGTATATAATATTTTCAAAAACATATCTGTATTTATATTTTTATTTCATTATTTTATCGAAATTAATTCTTCAAGTTATTTAAGAAAATATTTTTCCAATGCTAATTATTTTTTTAACGTCAAATTTTCAATCCTTTCGAAATCTAAATCAAAATAGCAGCAGTAAATAAATATTTAATAAATCTTTTCCTAAACAACCAAATAAATAAAATAAAACTTGCAGGGAAGGACACGTGATGTAATATTCTTGAAGAAATTAAGAGGATCGTTTTGAATTTAGGGAAAAACTACTCTCCAGCCATAGGAGAGTAGTGTGTTTTTTTAAGGAGACATGAATTTTTTTGTTTTTTGTTTTTATTTTTTTATTTTATAATTATATGAGTTCAACTATATAATTGTGAGAGTGATAGGAGATATACTATCTTCTATTGATGTAGATTAGTAAATCCCTTGAATTTATCATGTCTTTCTATGGCAAAGAGGTATTTAATTTAGACAGCGATAAGCACATAAATATATTACAATGAGCATCTATAGCAGTAAAGTGCACTTTTTTTTAAAAAAAAAAATTGTAGTCAAAATTTAAATATGATTAGTCCACAATTAATGACAGGCTTAAATTAGATTTTTTGATTTTAAAATATAGATCATGTTTGAAATATAATTTAATCTAGGGGTAGGATATTGTAACAACCAATTAGTGTTACTACCAATCAATTTCACTGTCAGATCGATTATGTTGATCTAACGGTTATATTTATTTTCATATTTGTATGGTTATGATTTTTCATATTTAATGTGAAAACAAAGATGAAATTATATGAAAATAAATATAAAGTATTAATACAAAGATGAAAATAAATATAACCGTTAAATCAACATAATCGATCTAACGGTGAAATTGATTAGTAGTAATAACATTAATCAATTGTTACAATATCCTTCTCCTTTAATCCATACCAGATTGATAAGCCAAATTAAATTTAAAATTTTATTTATTTAAATAAAGATTCTATTTTTCTTGTGTTACATAAAAGAATTATTTTCTGCAAAAAAAAAATAACTATGTATTAAGAGTAATATATAATTATAATAATAGTTTTTTTTTCTCTGGTATATTAGCCGACAATGTTTGAGGAAAAAAAATAAAATTTAATATTATAATTATATAATAATCTACTCCAACCCATTTAATCATTTATACCCTGACCCTAAACTTATAACCAAAAGTTATTCAATGAATACATTATATACTGTCATACTAACTCACGTATGCGGTGGGGCTTATGGGGCAAAGTGACATGTCGACATCTGTCCAACATTATTGGGCCTCAGGCCCAAACTTTAACTCATAACTAATGGCAACCGCTTGTTCTGTTGAAAACATTAAAATGGAGTTAAATAAATAACTATAATTAGTGGTTATTTGCTAATGAATACGTTAGATTGATTGCTGTTTATGTTTCCGAAGATAATTTCAATATTGCTTCTGCTCATGGAAAAGGAAATTGAAGCAAACGAAATCGAAATAGAAGTGATGGAACCCATTGCTTTAAGTGGGGAAATGGAAGAAGAAGGTGGTGAAACCTTTGAAAGACGTGACGACATAAACAAATATAATGAAGTTGAAAACAAGGTTGATTGCGGAAATCAGAGTCTGATGAGTATTCTAAGGGCGAAATTGCTCAAAGTGAAGAGGCTTTTTAAAGATCATCTGCTTCAATATGATGTCGCTAAAAAATTGGGCACGGTTAGATTGTACCAAGTTTGGCCAGGGAGAAATGTAAAGTTGAAAACTTTGTGTGATCTCTAATGTGGGTTTTAAGTTAAAAGTCTCGCTAAAATTGTGAAGTTTCATCATGCAGGTCTTTTTCTTCCATGGGAGACTTATTTGTGGTCCAGATCCAAGAGGGTCAATGTTGACCACTGTTTCTATTGTTCTTTCAAGTTGGATTTTTGTCAGTTATGTTGGGAATGATGTGCCACATCACTCTGCCCTCGTTGTTATGTTTTGTGTGATGTTGACATTCATTGTTGGTCCCTAAACCCATATCAAAACATGTTGAAGTCTTTTTTGGGTTTGTTAAGAAGTAATTATTGGGTTACAACAAATTAATTGAGCCTATTCATGTTTTTTTTTTTTTAAGTTTGATTTAAGCATTGATTGTCACATTAATAATTGGTTAACTTTTTGCATAATTAATGCAGGTTCTTATCAATTTGGTTCTCGTTAGCACAACTGACCCAGGAATTATTCCTAGAAATGATCAAGAATCTTTTGAAGATGGAACCAAAAGCAAAAAGGTAATTGTAAATGGGGTGGAAGTGAAATTGAAGTACTGTCGAATTTGTAAGATTTTTCGGCCACCCAGAAGTTGCCATTGTGCAATATGTGACAATTGCGTTGAGAGATACGATCATCACTGCCCTTGGATTGGTCAATGCATTGCATTGGTATGGTTAATGACAATTTATAACCTTAACATGTCCCATATAATGCATTTTCCTTATTGAGTTGTAACTTTGATGATTGTGTACATGCAGAGGAACCATCGATTTTACATGACACTTGTGATATTCGCCTTAATTTTCTATGTATACATATTTGCCTTCTCTTGCTGGAGGCTACACCAAAGGAAGGATGGAGATGGATTTCTTGGATTGGTTAAGACCTGCCCAGAAACATTAGCATTGGCTGCGTTTGGCTTCATTGCTATTGTGTTTTTAGGGACCCTTGCAATCTACCATGTGTACTTGATAGCAATAAACGAGGTTAGTTAACTTAGATTGACGTGAAATTTGTGTTATTCAATGCAGTAAAAATGTATCACGTGACATCAAATTACGGTGGGTTTAGTGTGTGTCGTTTAAAAGTACAAGTTATGTTATTTAATTGTGTCCTTTTAGTGACTTACACAAAGTATGACCGGTCAGCAATGTGACTGGATAGAGAGAGGAAAAAAAAGTAATTTTTCAGATTTACACAAAATATGACCGGTCACACAAAGTCATACTTTGTGTAAATCACCTAAAAAGACACAAGCTTGTGTCCTTTAAAATGATACTTCTTTTTCCCAATTATGATACATGCTCTTAGATTGAAAAAATATTGTTAAACTAAATTTAGAAACAATCCTCTTTGATTATGTTATAAATTTTCCAATTGGACACATCTTCACTTTGTTGCAATGTGAAACACACAAGTAATGATAGAAATGAAATAATTGCTCTTTTACATGGGACTTCTAGTAAGTCCCACCCTCTCATTTTTCTTTTACAAAGGTGATGAAATAATTGCTTCTTTTATATGTGTGCACACCTTTATTTACGCAAGGTAGGTCTAGTAACTTCACACAATGTTTCAGTCTTTCACTAATCCTCTCAGTACATAATACTCCAAAATTTAAAATTTTACATGTTGCTTGGTCACTTTTTATTTTATTTTATTTTCTTATTACAGACAGCTTATGAGAATTTTCGACAACGTTATGTGGGTTCCAAGAGCCCTTATGATAGAGGAATTTTAATCAATTTGAAAGAGGCGTTTTTTGTTGCGGTACCTCCTCCTAGAGTAGATTTTCGAGCTTGAGTTTATAGTGACAGAAGGACCATAGCTTGTGGTCAAATAGCGTTGGCTGAACTCTATGTAAGATTCTCTCTTACTGAACTGGGAAATAATGATTATTGATTAAGATGGATTGAAAAATTGTAACTGATTTATGTCTTTGTTCCTTGCAAGAGAAAAAGTTAGATGGTGATTTCTTCATCAAGGAAAGAAGCTTTTTGGGTTAGGACACTTTAGTGGGATTAGTCAATGTAATTTGTTGACACGTGTCTCTACCTCTCGGAAATGAGATGTGAAACAAAATAAAGGCAATGAGATTATAATGACGAGTCACAACTCATTCTGTAGTTACCTTCCACGAACGCAGAGTATGATGACAGGAAAGGATATATAAAATATGGGTCAAGTGTGTGTAATTCAAAATGATACAAGTTGTATGTTTTGAGTGGCTTACACAGAGTATGACCGGTCATACTTTGTGTAATTATGAATTTTTTTTTATTTGACATGTTAGCGATGTGACGGAGAAGAGAAAAAAAAACTTTTCAGATTTACACAAAATATAACTGGTCAAATGACACAACTTGTATCATTTTAAATGATAATCTTTTTTCCCATAAAATATATAACCTTGATGGGAATGCTTCCATAGTTCCACTTCCATGTCCAATTTTATGTTTGTTTCTTCTTTATTCTTTCCCTTTTCTTTTAAATCAAATTTTCTTGTCTTTTTTTATATATGAATGTCGAGTCCTCAACTTTATTCAATTTAAACATTTTTTTTATATTAGTAAATATAAATTTTATCAGTTAAATTACATATTTTTTTATATATTTTTGAATCTTAAATTATAAATGTTAGGTGCAAAACATGTATTTTAAATATAATATTTATTAAAGAATTTGAACACAGTTAGAAAAAATTAAGATATAATGTTTATATTCATTGTTTAAACAAAAAAATGTTAGGAAACGTATAAAAAAGTTAATTTATGAGAAATGGGTCTGTTTGATTGTGTTCTGATTTTTTTGTTCTTAAAACTGTTTTGTAAAATAGTTATGAAAACAGTTGTTTTCTAAATGTTTTTCTTTTTGAAAGTTAAAAACCAAAACAAAAAACAAAAACAACTCAGACATGTTCTCTAAATTTGATTTTAAAAACAAAAAAACAGTTATAGTTTTCAAAACATTTTTTACAAAACAGGTCTTACCAAACGAGTTTTTTAGTGTTTTTGTTCTGAAAACTAAAAAACTGTTTTGAGAAACATAAATCAAACGGAGCCTACTTTTGATTTTTTTTTTTTTTCAAAAAGCAAGACATTTAAGAAGTTTATTTACCACAAAAGGCGGGTTTTGAAAAATAATTTTCAAACACCGAGAAATGGTGCGTTGCTGCCTTGCTGGTAGGGGTGTAAATGGGCTGGGCTGGGCTTTGACCTTCATGGCTCAAGCCTATGTAAAAAAAAATTTAGCCTATCTGGCTTATTAGCTTATCAAAGGCTTTATTCGTAGGCCAAGCCCAGCCTATTTAAAAAAATAAGAAAGCCCGACATGGCCTATAGGCCTTATAGGCCTACCACTGTAGATACTAAGCAAAGAAAATAATTGTATAGAGAAAAAATAACAAACAAGAAAGAGTCAACATAATACTCCAGCTTTAGAATGTATATCATAGAGGAATAGAGTCAAAGAAATGGAAAAATAAGAAAAATACAATTATTGGGTGCTGAAATAAAGTCTACAAGAGAATGTCATTCATCTAAAAATTAGGGTTGGTATTGATACTTTGCCATGTCGCATAAAATAAATATTATTTTATTATTTTATTTTTAATAAATTAAATAAACCAGCCTACAAGGCTTTGGGTCAGGCTTGACAAAATTGGCCTACGGCCTATTTGTTAAAAAAGCTTTCTTAAAAGCCTAAGCCTACTCTATTTTTCTGAAAGGCCGGGCCAAACCAGGCTTAATGTAGGCCGGGCTGGGCCAGCCTGGCCCATTTACACCCCTACTTGCTGGTCATTGTTCAGAAATAGTTGTGCTACTGTACAACGTAAATGATTTAAATAATAATAAATATCATTTTAAGTGAGAAAAAGACACAAATAATAAAAATTATAAGAAAAAAATGAGTAATTTTTGTAAATTTAAATTTTAAATAAAAAAATATTATTTTATGTTTTTCTCTAATTTAAAATGATTCAACTCTATATTCTTTAAAAAGATAAATAATTTTCGCCCCTTTTTTTATATCTTCAATATTATTTATTTATTGTTGAGCTGATCTTTTTCAAAGCAGTAAATAACAGAGAAAAAAAATAAAATTTTTTGGTGACCCACATAATTACGCTAACTAATATATTCATTCGTAAGCAAACATAACAATATGGTTTATAAAATCAAACATAATCGAAGTAATAGAAAAAAGGTTTTGAAAAAATTATTCAAGTTCATACATAATCATATTAGTATTCTCACACAATTTATGAAAAATTTATCCATTATCATTTATATTTTAGCAACAACTTTTTGTGAATTAAAATGCATTATACTAAAAGTGAATTCATCCATAAATATTTTTTGTATAGTTAAATAATGTGTGCTTGAACAAAATATTAGGGTTAAGTTAATAAAATAATATTTTCGCGGGCTCCATTAAGCGGGGTTGAACATGGGCCTCGTTCACTCTTACTTGTTGGGGGGAAAAGTATACTCAATAATTAATATGTGCACATGTGTATGTGTGACCATGCTTGCCCATATTAAATAATGGCACCACAACCATGCATCAAAAAAATTCACACCTTCTTTTCCATTAACATAGTATGTTCAAAGAGACTCGTTCCAACATGTGAAAGTCCTTATTGAAAATTGCCCAATATTTCTGGTCAACGATTAATTTGATATGACAAGACTCAGTTTTCTTAAATACTACCATTGAATTTTATTATTGGATTTTTTTTTAGTATTAACATGGAGATATCTCCGTTTAACCTTCTTCGGTCATCTTGTCCTCGGAGTACGGCCCTGAAGACTAGCTCCTCATTGAAACAACGGATGCATTGAGCTTCGCTACCGGAAGAAGTATGAGACTAATCTCCCATTCGAGGAGAGAGACATATCCTCTGACCTCCAAATTTTTTTCAAGAATTTGCTTGAGTCAGAATTCTTCACGAATTTTATTATTGAATTTAATTGGACATATTTTGCTACATGACAGAAGGATGCATATGATAAAATGTCTGTAACATTGGAGTCTGGTGCCCTTAACTTAACCAACGAGACTCACATCCATCTAACACGTGGCAAACTATATCCCACTAGATCCAATAGGGAGATTTTATTTGTAGCAAGATGATAATTTTTTTTTTTCAAGTGTGACATTTTAGCATTTTTTTTTGTTGGGAAAAGATGACATTGTGGTTGTTGTCTCAACACTTCCATGGTATTGACGGAATATAACAAAACCTTTTAATAATTTCTTCATTATTCTCACTCCAAACCATTTAACTTCGTAAACGTCCTTGTTAATCCTTGCTTAGGAACGCACTAGGATTCTAATGTTGTGCGGTTGGATATTTGGAAGAATAATCACGTTTGGCGGGCCCCAGTGGGAACATGGTGGCTGTGAGAAGTGGAAGTTGAAGTTGAAGTAGGCCACTTGAAAATGGCGTTCGTTTATGTCATTTTTGATAAAGCCCAATTATAAAAGAACTGTGGGCCACAGTGACCTCAATTCACGGGTCTATATGATAAAATATATGATTTTGACGGGTAACAATTAATAAATAAGCAGAGTGATATAATTTCGAATAAATATCTTTTTTGATTTCTAATAAAAAATATGATTTCTACTTTAGTTTCTTAAAAAAAAAAAAAATTAGTCGGTTGGTCCTATGAAATTCAAAGTGACCCATTTTAATTCTTTTGAGGGACTAATGCGGGTCTTTTTTGAATTTGTGAGGGACCGCGATTTCAACTAAATGAGTCCACTTTGAATTTGCTAGAGACCTCGAGACTAATTTTTTTGTATAAAAAACTAAAGTGGAGATCATATTTTTTGTTAGGGACCAAAAATAGTATTTAGTGTATAATTTAATACCGGAAGCCATAGGTGTCTGCCCTTGTCTCTAGTCCTGGGAAAAGCGTATTATGAAAATCACATTCTTAGACAAACATTTAATTTCTAATAATTTCTTATCTAATTAAAAATTTGGAAAGGAATAAGAAATAATACTATGCTATAAGGATTTTCTTTTTGTCAATACTTGGGGTGGCTTTGTTTTCGGTTAGTTGAACTATAAATCTTATTTATTATGCTTCTTTCTTTGTTGTTAGTTGAACTACAATCTTGTTTATTATGCAACGCATAAAGTATAAGAACCATCTAGATGTGTGGACTTTTTTTGTGTTTGGCCCATGAATGTGAACATGTTAAAGCAGGGCAATTTAGGTTTATTTATTTCTTAGAATAATTAGCATATCTGAAAAAAGTTGGGTGGTCTATAATTTTAGTGGGTCCTAGAGGCCCCAGTTTGAATAACTTTTTCATATTTGTTTATGGTAGAATTTTATAAATGGAATCATGTATGAGTGAGTTCCTCTTAGGCAGCACACAGATGGCTCAATCTATGATGGAAAAAAAGTAAAGTTTGATTAGAGCGAGCAACTTGCACAATCATGCTCTGAATCATAAGCCACATTTCCTTAAAAAATAAAATAAATAGTGTCATTAGTTATTACTCAAGAGTAGAAGAATGGTCGCCTCAAAGTCGCAAAGTGGCAAATTCTGGTCTTCAAATGCCTTTGATTGTTCGTTGTTGGAAACTTTAGTTAGTGTTTGGTTTCGGGAGAAATTTTTTTTTACTAGGGAAATGAAATTGATAGGGAAATAGTTGAAAAGTGAGTTTGGTAGGAAAATGTAAAAAAAGTTGTTTGGTTGATCCAAATATTATCAGAGAAATTTATTTAAATATGCAAAATCTATGTTCGGGAAAAACTTTGCACCTATTTTGTCACTTCCCC